AAACAAGCGAGCAACTTCATCCTGCCGCTTCCTAGCTTTTTCCAGCACTGCAAAATGAATCTATTTTGGCACTACTGATAAAATCACCTCTGATTCATTACTAAATATTTAAAGAATGTCATTTGTCATAATTGCAGGGACATACAGAAAAGCTTTTGTGATCTCTTAAGCATTATAGCTAGCTCTTGTTCAGCTTTCTATGTGGTAAGTATCCACTACAGTATTTTATGTCCACAGAAATACTACTAAAAATACCCTTTTCTCTGCAAAGCAGTCAAACTGTAAGGCTTAGGGAGAAGGCAGGTGAATTATGCAAGATGATCTCTTCTTAGGTTAACCAGGAACAGGGCTAAATGAGAAAGAACAGCATACTTTGCACAGCAAACTAAAAATAATCAAGACAGCAGATACCACTTAAATAATTCTATCATGGGAACAGAATCACTATCATAAACACAGCATTTCAGAAAAGAACTGAACTTAAAATTAAATAAACTTAAAATAACACACTGCGCTTCTATAGCACTTTCCATCTGTATACCCAAACAGCTGAACAAATATTAATAAACTAAGCCTTGAGAGCCCTTGGGACTTAGGTATTAATAACCCCATTTTACAGAGGAAGATTCCGACGCAGAGAAGCAAAGCAATTGTGCCAAAGCTGCTTCCTTTTCAGAGCAAGCTAAACAATTTAGAGCAGGGGACTGAATGTTATCTTGACAAGGTTAACACCTTGTTAGTCTTCGATATTATCTAAAAATGGAATGCATTTCTTTTTGAGCTCATTAGGCTGTGATAGATAGTTCTGTATCTGCATCATGGATTAACTGATAATCTCTGAGGAGCAGAAAATAAAAAGGCATCCACAGCACTAAAGCAACCTAGGTTTCTACCAAGATTTCAAGGATTTATGGATATTCTGGCAGGTTTAATAAGCCTAGCACAAACACAACTACCTTTTTCTTCTAAAAGTTACTACCTAAGGTGTTTACCTTGCTCAGCTCGTCTCCTCTCTTCTCATCTGAAAGTGCCTTTGTCCCATCATAACAGAAGGCCTTGATGCAATTCAACTGGAGCAATTCAGCATTCTGCTTAATTTTTTTCACCTTGTTGGCTATTTTGTCCATGGCTATTACCTCACCCTGGAAAATACAAGATTTATATCAGAAGCACGACGATTAACTGGTTGTGTAATTCCTGATTTTTTTTCATATGAACAGTGCAATGAATGAAGCTTAGTTTTATTATCCATAAATCCATACCACACTTGTTTTCTGTGTTCCTCCCATAAGGACAGATATTAGTCTGGAGCATTTTGACCAGCACTTCCTTAATCATATCACTGCCAAAGGGAACCTATAATTAATGGCTGACTTCTGTCATTTTTTAAAATTATTTAAATTATACAATACTGGATAGGTTAAGTGAGGTGTTTCTCTTCTTCAAGAATTGGTTTCTACGAAACTCAAAAATGTAGCAATTTAAAAAAGGGCAGAAGTCTCAAATATATGGTAGAAATAGCCAACAAGTTTTAAATTTGCACGGTCATAGAAGAGACAAAAGAGGATGTAATCACATACACCTGAGGGAAATGAGGCCCACAGACAGATCTTTAGCTTGTTGAAGTCAAAGCACTTTAGAATAAATTTAGATATAGGAGATGGATCGCAGCTACACATCACTCCTTTTATGCAAGATTTCTTATTCTCATTGTGTCTGCAGCCTCAGTCTACCCTTAAACTAGTGCATTTGCTGAACAGCACAGGCCTGCGAATATGCAAAAATAAATCCTTCTCCCAAAGGAGACTCAGAAAAGAGAAGGAGCTGAAAGGCAGAAGTTCTTCTCCAGCTGGCCCATTCTGGTCACTGCTAGAAAATATCTGAGAAAAGTGGTGGCTTGGACTGGGACTTGTCTACCTGCTCTGTAGAGCTTACAGTCCGCATATTCACTAAACATTTGAGTAACAATAATAAATTGTTGAGTTTTAACTATCCCTATCATATTTTAAAGCTCTTACACAGAAAATAACTTATTTTACATTTCCGTTATCTGATCTAAAAATACAATGTATTATTTTTTACAATTAAATTACAAAAATATAAGATTTATTCAATGTTTTTGAATTGTAAATGATTTATTACAGTATGTATTGAAAATTAGCAGGAAATACCTATGAATGCAACTTAACCAAAGAGAAGTACAAATTAACTAAATGAGCAGATATTTTGTCATATCTAAGTAAAAACTGATATTTATTTAGAAAAGAAAAGACAATTAAATGAGTTTCAACACTTGTTTTCTGCATCTTTGCTACTGCAGCTGCACGTAAGTACAACCAAAATATTTAAAACAACTGAGGGAAAAAACAGTTATGTCAAATTAAACAAAATGCAGAGTTATACATGAAGAAAGTATAAGTGGAAATAAATCCATAGAATCACAGAATGGTTCAGATTGGAAGGTACCTCTGGACCTTCCAACCCCCTGTACAGCAGAGTCCCCTAGAGCACGTGGCACAGCATTGTGTCTAGGCAGGTTTTGGATATCTCCAGAGGAGACTCCGCAACCTCTCTGGGAAACCTGTTCCAGGGCTCTGCCACCCTCACAGTCAAGAAGTTTTTCCTCAACCTCAGGAAGAGCTTCCTGTGCTTCACTTTGTGGCTGTTGTCTCTTGTCCTATCACTGGCCACTATCAAAAATAGTTTGGCCCCATCCTCTTGACACCCGCCCTTAAGATATCCGTATATACTCTCTCTAAATCCATGACAGGGTATATATTTTTGCAGACTTTATTTTTTATTTGCCACATTGAAATTATTTACTGGAAGTTCTTCAACACTGTCTAATAAATAACCAATAAATGGCCAACTCCTGTTTGCAAATTTTCCATCATGAGGAATTGAACACTTCCATAAGCACTAGGAATGATTATGTAAAGCAAACAGCCACACGTAACTAACACATCTTCCATAAGTACAGACATTAACTACTGCTGGATCTTCCCATAAGGCATGGATGTCTGCTGTACAATGCAACTGTGAGATTCTTAATTCAACCCATTGTGTAAAAACCTTCCAACAAAAACATTAGTTAAACTATTTCTAAGATTTTTAGAAGAAACATTACACTTTTTTCCCCTCTTTGCTAAAAAAGGATAACCCACCTCTGTCTCAGTTTGCATAAACCTATTTGATACGCACCAGCCTTTATGTCTCTCTCCACATTCTTTTTGCCTTCTATACTATTTGCCTTCATCTTTGAACACTTTTTGTGTTTCTATTTACATAATTTCTTTCTCATTAAGTATTTCTGCTTTCTAACTTAGAAAATAAAACGTTTTATTTCTTACCCTCTACCTTAGAATGATAAACTTACACTAGAAATTCTCATTAAAAACTATAAATGTGCAATACATTTGATGTGATCTTATACTGCAAATTCCTTGGATTAGGTGCTTTTAGGCATGTTTCTGTAGAGAGTTGTGTATTTGTTGGCACTCTTCAGCAACCCACGATTTCCACATATCCTCCATTTTGTGAATCCAGCATACTCCTCATTCAATTTACCCTACATGTTACATATGTTCTTCCATTAGAAATAAATCATTTAAAAAGAGGAATCAAATATGTTTGGCAGATCAATTTGTAGCCAATAACATTTTATATGTAAAGGTGACTATTTGATAAAAACATTCATGCCTATTTCAGTAACTCTGAGGTACTGCAAAATAAATTCATAAGTAGAATGTTCAAATATTAATGGTTTGCTGTTCCAAGTCATCTGTGCATTCTGACAGAAAAGTGAAGTGAATTGTGCAAGTGATCAGTGGTCAGACTTGATTCACTGAGACATAAAATGCTCAGTGACCTTTCTTACCTTGTCATGCATTAACGTTGCAAGATGGGTTGTTTTTCCTCCCGGTGCAGCACACATGTCCAAAATTCTCTCTCCTGGCTGAGGGTTTAAAACATGGCTCACAACCACAGAAGGCAAGTTCTACCATAAAAAGAGAAATGGGAGAATTTAAGCCTTATATCCTATATCAAGAGTTATATTAAGTAATTACAAACTTGAACAAAATTGAAACAAAATTGAATAAAAAATTATTCAACAATTAAAATATTTATGGTATTACTGCCAGTTCAGTATCAGAAGATGAAGTATTGTGTTTATGTAAAAGAAACAATAAGTTTGAAGTCCCTAGTGACTCCTTTTTCTTTAAAGCCATACATGAAGATGGCTTTGCACAGAGGGACCTGTGGGTCTTGATGCAGAAGTTGAGCATGTACCAACAAGGTGTCCGTGTGGCAAAACAAAACAAAACAAAAAAAAACAAAAAAAACCAAAACAAACAAACAAACAAAAAAAAAAAAAGACCAACAGCATCCTGGGCTGCATTTGAACAGGCACTGGTGAACAGGGGAGGTGATCCTTCCCCTCTGCGGCTGAGGGAGGTGATCCTTCCCCTCTGCGCGGCACTGGCGAGACCACATCTGGAGTGCTGTGCCCAGAGAGACATGAACATACTGTGGTGAATCCAGAAAACAACCACTAAAATGAAGTGCTAGAAGCAAAGCCTAAGGGAACAGCGACTGACTGTTCAGCATGGAGAAGAGAAAGCTTGGGGCAAGGTGGATCTTATCCATATACATAAATAATTGAAGAGAGGGCGTGAAGAAGACAGCCAGACTCTTCCTGGTGACATCCAGTGACAAAACAAAAGGCAACAAGCACAAATCCTGCTACAGGAAATTGCACTTGAACATAGGATAAGCTTGTTTTACTGTTAAGGAGAATGAACACTGGAAAAAGTTGCTCAGAAAGGTTGGTGTCTCCATCCTTGTAGATATTCAAAGCTCAGCTGGTTCCTGGGCAACCTGGAATAGATGATCCTGCTTTGACAGGAGGGTTGGACTAGAGCTCCAGAGGTCCCTTCCAACTCAACTATTCTATGATATTAAAAAATAACAAAAATCCTACACTTCAAACAGAAATCAAAGGAGTTTTGAACTGTATGGAATTTATGAAATTCTGTACTGAGTGTTTAAGGTGGGCATCCAAAACTAAATTCCATCAACAAAATGCAAACCTTGGTACTGAAGTTAAATTCTCACAAGTGCAGCAATCTAAAAATTCTGTTCCTTGAAAGTAAGAGCCTGATAACCTGAATCCAGGAATAAAAAGGCTCACCCCTTTTTGCAAGCCATCAGATAACACACTGCTTGATAAACTGTATTTTACTCACACCAGAAGACAGCATTGATTCTCATTTTAAAATACTGATTACATTTCTAATAGAAGAAATTACTAATAAGACTGCAATCAAGGACTTGCCTATTTATCTGACTGACAGTTATACAAATAAAATGAGGAGGTAACTTAGTAGGAAAGTTGAAAAACGGGTTTATCCGAGCTAAAATTTGCATGTGCAGAGGCAAATCACCATTTTTTCTTCAGTTCTGCATAGACTGATTGAGCTTGATAACTTTTTAAGTGAATATCTCTTTAAAGTCACAGACACAGTTAGTATGATAAATCAACTACATGTAGATGTTGTGTTCGCTTTAAATGATTCGTTTTCTTTAAGCAGGGAATTAGGTGCAATAATACACATACAGAGCCCTAACGAGCACTTAAGTGACTATTTACTCTTCTGTGAATACTAAAGTGTTTTCTTTTGTAAAAAGAAACATACCTGTAAAAACAAATGACTAGAGAGCACATTGTCAAACGAAGGACTAAGGTAGACTGGCTCTATCATTCTGACGCCCATCCCACTGAAAAACATGGAACAATTTATTTTAATTATTCAGATTTATAATTTTTAATGCTATTCAATTTAAATTACTGTGCTTACATATTAACAACTTGAAACAAAATATTAAAAAATGAACGCATAAAAGCAGTCATAAATAAACAAAGCAAATATTTTTTCATTTTAGTAACGTGATATTCTTTAAAATGACACAATTATTTTGGGTAGCTTTAAGAAAAAATATGCTGCATTATAAATTGTTCTATATAATTTGCATAAAGCAAATTAATCTGTTTTGTACGTATGACAAACCGATATCTAATCAAAACTTCAATAGTACAAATTAATGCATAAGCATATGTTTTAATACGAATTAAATTCAGTCCACAGCACCTTTGGCCAGCTTAGCTCTTCTTCCATTTTTCTAGAATGTCTCAGATTTTGATTGAATCTCTAAAGAACATCAATTTTCCTTGTAGAACACTAATCTGCCTGCAAATCAAAGGTTTAAACTCAGGAGAAAACTAAATTTTAGATAGGAATGAAGTTCATTTAATTGTAATCTCTAATTCCTTTTATTAGAGACAATTGTATAACAAGAAAATGGATGACAAAGAAAGATAATATTGAACCTGAAAAATATACAATAAATTATTGAAGATAATAAGAATGAGTAACTTTTTGCGTATGTTTCACAGAGCTGGATAACAAGGATGGATATGAAAAGGTTGTAAACTCCATATTTAGTGTTATCATTCCATGTCATCAACTTAATTGGAATATGTTACTTCCACCTCTGCTATATTCAAGCTATAATACATCAGCAATCTCTTAACAAGATCATTGTTTTTACTAAACCTTTTGTAGTTTGTCCTGATGATGTAAACTTTTAGCCATTGTAATGTAATGATGTAATGCGGTTTACACACTGCTTCTGTATGTATTTTGGGTGAGAGAAAAAGGAACAGACGATAAGCTTTACAACAAAAGAGAAGAGCAAGTAACCTTGAATGAGATAGTCACCCTGGCAAATGCTGTTTTATTTTTTGAACATACCTGACCTAATGTGCAGCTCCTCCAACTCTAAAAATCTTTGTAGGAGATATAGGGAAGGGCAACATTTCAGTTCCATTCAAAGAGCAAGGCAATACAGAATAATTCAGTAAAATGGAATTTTAAGTGTACATTTGTCACTTTTTTTTTCTGTTAATAAAATCGGATGTTAGTTAAAACCATTATTTTTAATTCCTATCTTTCAGTAAAATGGCACGTGGAACCCATTATGCAACTAAATATTGAAACTGCTAATAAAATGCTATTAGACTGCCAGAGGCTAAAACTTCTCAAAAGATGACAGAAATTCCAATGTGCAATACAGGTTTTGGACAAAACCATCACATAGGTTCAAATATTGTACAGAACATTTCAAAATGCTTTGCCATCCCCTTTCTCCCCTTTCTGAAGTTGCAGATGTAAATTCCAGTTACCATGGACTTACTTCAGTGGACCATTTGAACCGAAGATTTCATTACGACTCAATTCAGAAATCCCATTTCCAAGGAAAACTTTGATTCCTCCAAATTCTTTCGCTCCTCTTTTACACTTCCCTTCAATATCTGAATACACCGAGACTAAGCCTCCAGCTTTCAAAACTGTTCAAAGAAGAGAAATTTTTGACATTAATCTTATACTTGACAAGACAGTAGTAACCAAATAATTTGGGACTTTCAGTAGACTATTTAATCCATCTCCTGCATCACAGCAAAAGTTAGACTTGCTGTAACCTACTCAAGAGAATCATGGGTTTTAGGATTGAAAGTGTATATGGTAAATGATGGTTACCATCCAACTACATATTGAAAGATTCTTGGTTAGAAATTAGAGACAGTTTTCTCGTTTTGTAAGAAGCTAGACAAAACTCCTTGTTTATTCCATCACCACATGGTCACCCATGAGTTTTAAGACCACTCTTTGGGATTTCATTCTCTGTGTATGCTCCAGGCACACAAGTATACTGAACCACTGGTTCACATTCAGAGGCAATGACTCTACTCAGATGGACATTTGTCACTAATTACTGAATTAATTACTGAATTAATACTAACAATTACCCAATGCCTAGGTAGAACACAGCTGATGGAAAGCTGCTTAAATTCTAACTACTGCTGTGACACAAGTGATCATATGCTCCTCAGTGGAGACAAGTTATGAGATATGCCTCTACGCCTAATACAACTGATGTTTCTGAATAATCCCCTAAAAGACTTGGCCTCTCCAGTTAGAGCTTCCAGTCCAGGTACGTACATAAGCACACACTGAACTCTAGAGCCCTGTAGTCCTACTAACTTGAACTACCTTTCTGAACTGGAAACAAAATAAACGGGAAGGAGAGTTGGTTTATGTGATTGTATAGAATAATAAAAAAGCTTGTTCTATGCACAGCCTGGCTGAAAAATGTACTTAAAAAATAAAGGCATCCACTGACAGCAATAAACCACTTGTCAATTTCTTGAGTTGCTGACTAGATGGAGCATCCAGATAATGGAAGAGATAAGACAAATGACAGTACATCTACCCCAAAATTCAGAGTTGTATGTATGAATATTCTTTTTTTTTCTCCTGTTTTCAAGGGACCTTCCTAATATGGAAGGTAGCTACTAAGTATTTCATTTTTGGATAACTTCTTATAAAATGTGACTCAAAACATTTGATAGCCTATTGTTATTATCTACTTAATCTTCATATAACTAAAACTTTCAGCTATTTAACTCTTTTACTCAGCATATTTGTAAATGTCATTTTTTGCAGTATTCTAAAGCAAAAAGCTTGTATTTCACTCCTTGCTAACAACTGTCTTTCCAAAATTCCTTAGTGCTATGTCCGAATCTTAAGCATTTTGTTCATTTGGGTAACTACACTGACATTCCCCTCAATCTAACATAAAGCTTAGATATTAATTAACTACATTCAAAGTCCCTTGACAATTAGTTTATTCGCACTTGGGTAGCTCGTACAGTGGTAAAATATCTGCTCTTGCTTAACTCTTATTCACTGGTTGCATTATTTCTACTTATGGCCGTATTATATTTGGTCCGAAGTGGGAAGATGCCTTCCTATTTTATTTTCCTATCCGAAATTCCTCTGAAATGTCTCTGCAATTTTAGTGAAAGGATCTTCTTTATTTTGAATCAGATGTTGCATGCATAATTAGATACAGCAATTATGATAAATCATCAGTTCACTCAAAAAGAAGCTTGAATATTTATGAGGTCTAAATAAGCAGTTTCAACATCTGCTACAGCAATATACTTATTTTCTTATCAAGTCCTGATTGAAAAACATTCCTGTTCTGTGAACTGGTCTTAAGCATATACTTAAAACTAAGGACTTGTTAAAGGTTTTTTTTTTCCTGAATAGGAATGAAGTCGAGCGGATGGCTAATGCCTTCCTGACTTTGTCTATTTAATAGTAAGAATCATAATGATTAGTAGCTATCGGCACAATAAAATAATAAGGTGAATTGTCCATAATTATACTGGTTTCACATAAAGCTAATTTGACTTCTAAAGGCAAAATAGCATTGTATCA